TGCCAATAACGACTAAATAGGAGGCCAGTTCCCCATAAAAGTCCTCCCGGAAGGCATTAATTCCCGCGCGCGCGATTAGGCCGTTCAGGTACGGCTGGCTCATCGGTCGCATAGCGATCATACACAAGTCTATCGGAGAAAGAGCCTATTTGAGCTATAATCTCCATATTAACACCTGCAAGAAGAAAGAAAGAAGCTCAAAGAACGAGAAAGAAATAGCAAAAATAAATTGCTAAAAAAGTGCGTATTATTTGAATTTAATAAAAAATAAACAATAATGTTCAATTTTTCTCCGGTAAGAACATGGGAAAAAAATTGATTTGTTCAATTACGATATTACCACAGTACACTTAAATAATAAAAACGGAGGAAATAGATTACAGATAAATGAATGATAATTATGAAAATAAACTTTATACACACACGAATGAAAACTTTATATATATGTCACATACATACATACATACGCGGCCGGATGGCCGAGCGGTCAAGGTGGCAGACTATCGCTCTGGGGGACCCGGGTTAGAATCCGAACGGGTCGAAAAATCCCCAGGAATTTTTCGGGGGTGGTCCGTTCAGATATGTCGGGCCCCGTCCCTCACCACCCGGCAGCCCCATTATGGGCCTGGCCGAATCCATAATGGGCTTGCAAAAAAAAGAGGCCCTCTTAGTGCCCACAGGGTGGAAAGAGTTTAAAAAAAACCATACATACACGAAATGAACAACTGAAGATTAAATTTTAGCATTTATAATGCCACATACTGGAAAATCAGTTTAATGTGTAAGCATGTGACAGCAAAATAATCCTCCTCCCATTCACGAATATCAGTGACTGAAAGGATTGTTTTTTATTTTTTTATTTTATTATTTTTTTTTGTATGTTGGCAGTTATGGTAAATCCTTCCTCGGTTTTTCGCAATAATTGCCACAAAATTGTAAGAGCTCTTGTTACTGGAAGGAAATGACAAGTTTTGTATTATTTAATTTATATGTTTTGGGATATGTTCATTGATAATATTAGACGACCGATAACAATATCAACGATTACAATAAGCGAACCAACTATATGAATATTTGTATAATAGTAAACAGTATACAGAGGGTTGCAAAAGTAGGTATCCAGTTGAGAATCTGAGAAATATAGATGTTTGGTGTTCATTCTTACTTTTTTTTTATCTTTTATTAGTTCGTACATTAAAATACAGGTAACCCCCGTATAACACGGGAGTTACGTTCCAAAAAATTGCCGTGTTATGCGAATCCGTGTTATACGAAACAAAGAACTAGTGCGAAAAGGGGGGTTAGGTTCCAAAAATTAAAAAACATGCTGTTAAATCCTTATTTAAATCGGATTTATTATTCATTTTTTTCATAGGTAAAATACTTATTTATTATTTAAGTAAATATTTTACCAGAGGATTATTCATCCTATATGATGATCTCAGCATGAGCATCATCAACTGGTAACAGTTTTTGGGTGCGTTCGTTAATAGCGGTCGCTCTGCAACGGGAGTGCGCTGCTGTTTGTAGGCATTTAGGAACGACGGTGAAAGAAAGATGGCAAAGCCCGCACTATCGATAGTATCGTGTGGAGGAATCTATAATTCTAAAATGAGCTTTTAGAGACAAAAGAAGGGTCCCAGTTGTAAAATTTAACCATTAAATGGATTATTTGTTGAAAGAGCATTCAAAGTAGCCACAAAAACAATTAGAATGCTTGTGCAGTTACGCAGAGGTATAAAAGAACACACCCTTTATTACATTTCATGTTGTACGAGGGTTTTACCCAATTCTCGAACTGTGTTAGAGTGAACCCGTGCTATAAAAGCACCGTGTTATACAGGGATGTTCCCAATTCTCAAACCGTGTTAGAGTGAATCCGTGCTATATAAGTGCCATGTTATACGTGGGTTACCTGTATTTGCTTCTAGTAGATAGAAAGCTCTACTTTTTCTATCCTTTCCAAGTGGTAAGCATAGAAAAAAAAAGATGTCTGTGGCATTGCCAGTTTTTTAAACTTGTGTTTTTAAGGAAAGTTTTAATTTTGATGGTCAAGTAGCATACAATGAAAGGTTTGTCACCAAAAGTTTGTATTCTGGAAGATTGAAAGTGAATAAATGGTGATTTTTTTTCTTTTTTGGCTGTTATGTATACATAACAAGGGAAAGTATGGGAATGTGACCCTCAAAATATGGAGATTTTACAAATTGCCACATTCCTGATCCAACCTGAATCCAAAAAAGTCAAAAATTTCTGTGCATGTGTGTTGGCGTCTATTTTGTTTGATATCTAGGATGGGGTGACGATTAAGAAACGAAATTTGGCACAGGAACTTGTATATAAGGGGTATTGATTCTATTAAGTTTTGGTGGTGAAAGGTTGATAGGGTTGGGAGATAAAGGGAAGTCATGTATCTTGAAAGGGTAGGACTTAAGATTTTAGTTATTTTACACTTTAGAAGATTTTAGTTATTAACATTTACACTTTTTTATAAAACTCATCCCTACCCTCAAGTTTTTTGCCATTTTATAGTAATTAAAAATATAAAAAGTTTTTATAGGAAAATCTGATAACAGATAGTGCCACACACAATATTATATTTTGCTTAATAATATAAAAAGTTTTTAAAATAAAAACTCAACAGCTGGAAAAGTTATGCAACTCTCATTGTAAGTGCGCCAATTACGGGGGGTTTTTATTCCCTTTTGTCGGGATGGTCTAAGGCTCTCGTGTATGTGGGTGGTGGTTTGCAAAGGCAGAAAAATGAAAAGTGTCACAAAAGAAAACCATTTATTTGGTTAAAGGGTATGCTTACATCCAAAAATTTGAGTCATAAAAATAGTGTGGAACCTCAATGTTGGTTTCTGTCAGTATCATCCAGTATCAATCAACGAAACATTGATTGATACTGGATGGACAGCCCTGGGGCAATGATGAGATAGTCAAGAATTTGAACTTGTTGAAATTTGCATACTTGAAGCTATCGTGGGAGGAGTCGACAATGTTTTCTATGTTTGCATGACGTAGTTGAGGGTGAGGATGATTTAGATGATTGGCTCAAACTGAGAGATTGAACCCTTGTCCTTAGACAATTGGGTTTTTATAATTTTTCATTCTCAATTTCTTTTCTGATTGGTCAGGCTTTCCCTTCCTCGTCCCCGATTGGTCTCTTACCTGTCTCGAAGTAGAATTTGAAACCAAGATAGGTCGTGAGAAAGGTCTGCCCAGGATGTTTTATCCGACACCATCCTCTCGACTCTGATTGTGATTCATTGATAACTAAGACTCCCCCACACTCATATTGCATTTCATCGCTTCCTTTTCCTTATTACGTTTGAAGTTTTAAACAATTCCCCCTTTTTATTTTCTTTTATTCTAAATATTGTTTTCTCTCTGTTCTTTATGAGCAACGATATCAAAGTCCAGTGTTGCCATCTCAATAGTTATATTACTTGTTTTCTTGGTGATTTTATTTAATAAATATACATTTCCTTTTTAATTATAGACTATTTCTGGGGGCTCACATCATTGCTAGATTTTTACAACAGACTTTGTCTTCAGTTTAATTTTTGAACTTAATTGTCATCTGATGAAATTCTACATATATTATTTTCTATTAATTTTAACTTTGAAGTTTTAATAAACTTTACATGTAACAATTTTAAAATATTTTTAATCTCAGCAACATGAGTATGTGCTGTTGTTGTTTTTGTTCCCCAGGTGGTAGAACCAACCAGGTGGTTCCAGAGTTGCAACCATGTGTCACAAGATAATGATACTATGAGATCATTTGATATGTAAGATACTGGAATACAAAATTATTCCTCCATCTAAAATTTACTTTTGTATATTCTTCATCTCTCATTTATGTAAGATCTCACTGTTTAACAAAAATATGTCTAATTTGAAGCTTACTTATAATAAATAATTATAAATGAATGATAGTTTGAATAGTTTTGGGCTAATGCCCACCTTCAGAAACCAAATACAAAAACAGAGAAAGTACACAGTCATTCCATGGAAGTGGAATAGTTAGTTGTCTTGTCAAATATAAGAAACATAAAAATAAAAATTTAACATAGATAATAATAAATACAAGAAATAAAATAAAGTTAATTAAATGTTTCAAATAGTTTTTTGTATGAGGCAAGGCTCTGGTATTTGAATTACAGGAGCACGAGTTCATATTTTTGTTTTTATTTCTTCTTTAATTTCCTCTTCTTGTTTACATTTAACTTCTTTAATAATTCCACATTTCTCCAAAGAACTGTGGTGTTTGTCCAAAGATTTTTCATTCATAGTGTTTGTGTATCTTCTCTTAATGTCTCATTGCTGTCATAGAATTTCACTTGCTTAGTTTTCTTTTTGCAATTCTGATGTACTGTAGTTGATGGTTGTTGTTGTCATTGACAAAAATTCTATATATTCTATTCTCTTAGAGAAGAATGCTTCATAGGTTTAAAGGATTTATAAAATTGATTTACAGTAGATTAACATGTATAAAATACAAAAAGCATCATTTATTTATTTGAAAAATATTGCAATTAGGTAATTTTAAAACCATCAATGAAGACATTTCAAAAAAATTTATTTATTTGTTGTTTATTTTTATTATGCGGGAGTGGAAATCATTTGTCTCAATCAGACTTTTCCTAATGTAACTAAAATAAATAAATAAAAATTTATGCACACTGTACATGTAAGAAATTATTTTTCCATTTGTTTTAGTTGGCATTTTATAATTTGTCTAGATAAACTGAACATTTGTATGACATTTTAATGTATCTTTCTGGAATAGTAAATAAAAAATGTACCATTTACAAATGTAAAAGTAAGAAAAATTAGTATATTTTATTTTTATATTTTAATATACTGGTATACATGTGTATGTGCATATATTTTTTTTCTTTTGATAAAGATGACTTTTAAATTATTAACTAACATCTTTCTGCTACCTTTCCATTAATAAACATTATTTTTATTTTATTGTTTTTTTTTAGGTACAAAAATGGTAGAACATGTGTTAAACTTTGTTGAAAAAGATGGCAACTTTGATAGCATATTTTTGTAAGTATTTATTTTGACATTGCTTTCAGAGATTAAAAACTATAATGCATTCACACTGCCGATAACAACAGATCGTAGATGATAGTAATGGTGTGTCTTTCCTTATATTTTGTTCATCACCAAAGTGTTCCTGGTTTGTTAGTTTGTGTATTTACATTATGTTTAGCATTATTCCATGGATTTCTGCACTTTTAGAATGGACTTGTTTATGTTTTAAAAATGGATATGCAGATAAAATGATAAGTCATCTTCAAAAGCTGAATTTATTAAGACAAAATCTTTTTTCAATACACAAGATTAGTCATTTCTCTATCTTGTTAAAAGAGAATTGAGGAAAGTTCACATTGATTGACCAATACCATTACGACAACAAATGTTGAATCTTGGCTACTTTTGAATAACGAGTGACTAGGATGAAAATGCAACAATAATGACTAGTGTGAAAATTTTACAAAGATAAATGATAAAAATATCTGTTGTTGGCATTGTGAATGCAGCCACACATACATTCTACTTGTGTAACATCTTTTTTGCATCTTATCTATTTAAACATCAAAAATAAAATTGCATGATTTCAGGCATGTACAGATAAATAATGAAGGTGCCATCGAATTCTACAAAAAATTTGGGTTTGAAATTGTCGAAACAAAGCAGCATTATTATAAGAGGATAGAACCGGCCGATGCGCATGTTCTTCAGAAAACACTAAGAGGTTCCAGTCAACCATTACCTGTAAATAATTCATGGAGATCTGAGTGATTGTAAAATTAATATCAAAAGGCAATAAACAGTGACACAGGAAAGTTTTTACAAGTAACTTACCTTTTAAGGAACAAGAATTTGATTGTAAAACATCCAGTTTGATAAAAAAAAAAAAGAGGGAAAGTATGGAAAAATCTCTATTGTGCATAAATATGACAGCACATAAGAGTGCCTTTTCTTTTGTGTGTGCGCGCGTACGAGTATTGGATTCGTGTTAAAATTCATCAGAGATGGAGATGAAATAAAAACAAATGTGAAATATTCTTTCGTATTTTATTAATTGAAAAACAAAACAAAATTAACAAATGAATATTTAATAATGATATTTACCACATTATTTACTAATTTTAATACAAATTATTCAGCAGCATCATCATTTATGAATATTGAATTAGGTCCATTCCAGTCCTATCTCTTCAGTCTTACATGGTTGTAATCTCAATCTTTTCCATGCTCTTCCTTGATCTCACTTTCCCGTAGGATAATACTAAAGGGCAGCTTTACATAGTCTACTTTCTGCCGTTCAGTTAACAGGCTGTAACCATTTACACTGGTATATCTATATTTCTGACCTTCAGTCTCTCTCTCTCTCTCTCTCTCATATCATTACTTCTTTGATGGTCCAGCTATATTCTAATACATAAATTAATAGAAAAGTTTTACATGCTTAGAGATTGCAATAGAGTAAATCATTCTTTAACTGTTTGGCTAGATAGAACACATATCTAATTTATATGATGAGGTTTCACTATATTTTTAATGATAATTATCGGAGAAACATTTTACCACAAAACTTATATCTAAATATTAACAACATACACAGGGTATTTATACTATTTCTTAAAATACAAACTGGGAGTTTAATATATATTTTGAAAGTACATTCTTTGATTTATTTACCATTTGAATTTCAGAATAGGTGAGATTATGTAAAACCTTTCATCTGTTAAGGATGGATTTACACAAAAAACTTTGATAATTCATTTTGGTATTAATTTTTCAAAATTTTCTGTACAAAACATTATTTTTAAATACTTTCAATGAAATTACAGCCATCTTCTGACAAGAAGAACAAATTGGAAAAAGAACATGCAGTAAAGCAACTTTTTTAATTATTATTTCTCTCAGAATAAGAATGGAGCTGCTGTTCATTAGTCTACATACAAGGAAAACAGCTTTGTGTTTATTACAAAGCAGAACATAGTATCCAATTCTCTATCTTGGCAAGCAAGACCATGCTGAGAAATCTTGCTTGGTTCCATGCATTTGTTTTTGATGTTGTCCAGTCAAAAGTTACTTTAATTTTGAAACACACTAAGATTAATTTAAATTGTGTTGCTATCTTATGTAGGAACAGATAGGATTTTGCTCTGTGAGAAGAGGGTTTGGGTATGCATAATGACAGCAACATTGAAGAGTCCACTAATGATTGCCTGTACTCTTGTGCACTTATATTTAGCTAATATATAAAAGCAGGAAGACAACCTGCAGCAATGTTTTTATCTACTTACTGTGTATAGAACATAGGTATGTTTAGAACTATTGTTATCTGTTTGAAATTTCTTGCAAAAACTTGGATGCAATTTGCCTTTTCTAATTTACATTGTCTTCTGTTTGTGAATTGTGATTTTATCATGAAATCTTTCCATTTATTGTTAAAATCACTTTGCTCATTTCTTCAAGTTTGCTTCTCTATCTTACAATTTTTGAAAGTAATTTTTGTAACCATAATTATATCTCTTTAAATTAATTGTTCAAAACGATTCGATTAGGGAAGCATATGACTGCTCATTGAGGAGTGGCAAAGAATTCCCCATCACCTCTAATTCCATACAACAGATTTGCAGCAATTTGGTTGTTCGTAGAGATCATACACCCTGCTAAAGTCAGCACAATATATTAAATGTCATTTGTTCTGGTTATGCAGGTGTGCATGTTGATCAGCAAGTTGCAATAGATGGAAATATGATAACAATTCAGTTCAAATGCATATTTTTTTCACATATTACTATATATTATGTAATAACAACATATGATGCAAATAATTTTCAATGCAACATCTGTTGCACTCCGAATTGTTTTGATCAGTGGATTTGCAAAGTATGATTTTCAAGGCATATCATTTGAGGAATCTTGCAAAATGAAATCTAATAGTCTTGTATAAGTTATTTAATAATTATATAGTGTATAATTTAACTTTAAAATCTTAAGATTCGACTCCAAAAATCGAATTTTAAAATAGCATACTGTCAAGAGATACAACAACAGTATATTATACAGAAAATGGACATTTAAAGCAAGTATAGATGTACTGTACTTGCTTTAAATGTAAATTATAAATATGGTTTTGTCATGAAGATGGATCTAGTAATAACGGTTTAAGATATAGAGAGTTAGTCTAATGTCAAGGCCTAGAAGACATTTTCGTAAAGACGTCAGTACCAAGCTTTCCACTAGGGCACTTCTGGCGCTGAAAGCAACGAACTATATACAGGATACTGAACAGGCGTTACTGCTCAATATGATCCCATTCTGAAGGCGGTGAACAGTTAAATTCATCGTTATCGATTCTCATGATGCTTCCACATGCAATGTGAGTCTGTCGAGGCTTCCAAATTTTAACACCACACTAAGTGGCTCCACAACCAGAAATCTAAAGCGCCAAAAGTACCACAGTGGTGAGGTTTTGAACAATTTTTTTTTTTACAGAAATGCCTTACGCATGTCCTGAAACGTCACCTTGCCAAATTTGGCTGCATTTGCTCTGCTAAACCTGTCTAGACAGCGTTAAATAGGGTTACTTTACGATAACCCGGTACAATAATTTAAAAATTTGCTAATTTTTTCTATATTTTGAATTAAATGTTTGTATGGTATATTCCTATATTATATTTTTATAAGATTATTAGGAAACATTTTATTAAACAATGAGTGTTAATTAGGTATTATACAAGGTCTGTTCAAAAAGTATTGGACCTTTGGTCGGCAAAAATAAATTTATTGACTTTGAGGTANGTCCTCCCGGAAGGCATTCTTTCCCCGCGCGCGCGTGACACATCTTTCAAGGAAGAAGGCAATGGCAAACCACTTCCTCAACTCTTGCCAAGAAAACTACATGGACAAGAAAAGACTTGTCCATGCAGTCACCAGGAGTCTACGACGACTTGATGGAACTTAACACACACATATATGTATAGAATATATAGCATTCATATTACATTAAATAGATATGGGGAAAGCTTAGGGGCAGGAGGCCTCAATTAACTATATATGAACTTCAATGAAAACTAGAAGTCACATTATTTCAATTCAAAAATTTTCCCCTAAAAGAAGTTAGTTAATGACTGGCATGACTCCATTGATAACGGAAAAGTATGATGTACAGGAGTAACACTATTGAGGTGGAGAGCATATATTTCAAATTAAATAAATTAAAAACATTTTTAGCCTGAAATTGAACCAACAAAGAATTTTCAGTGTTTGTTGACAAGTTACTTCTCTATCATTCTTTAAATTCAATAAAATGGGTGATAAGTAGTTTTCATTATGTTGAGATGAATAAACCTTAGGGTCTTAAAATCAGAATTATTTAGTAACCAAGTATGTCAAATATTGTAATAGTCAATGAAATTAAATATTTAGTTTTCAACTAATTAACCAATAACAATCAAATATTTGTTCTATCCTTAGTTCATTATGACATTATTTTTATATGCTTATCATTGAAGACATATAGAACATTACAAAGATTAAATTTCCACTGTAAATGTAATATAAATTCATTTTGAACTCATAAAATTTGTCTTTTAAGCAAGAGGTTTAACAAGTGTTGGCACCATAATATCACTATAAATGCATATTGCACATTAATTTATAATCAGAAATTGCATATAATTATTCTAAATTAACGTATTTCAAAAACAATGTGATACAAATGACAACCAACCTTTCATTGTAGGCTGGGAGCAGCTGAAAATCTATATTTACAAGTACAGGTAACCCCCGATTAACACGAGAGTTACGTTCCAAAAAATTGCCGTGTTATGTGAATCCATGTTATACGAAACAAAGAACTAGTGTGAAAAGGGGGATTAGGTTACAAAAATTAAAAAACATGTTGTTAAATCCTTATTTAAATCGGATTTATTATTCATTTTTTTTCATAGGTAAAATACTTATTTATTATATAAGTAAATATTTTACCAGAGGATTATTCATCCTATATGATGATCTCAGCATGAGCATCATCAACTGGTAACAGTTTGTGGGTGTGTTCATTAATGGCAGTTACTCTGCAACGGGAGTGCTCTGCTGTTTGTAGGCATTTAGGAACAACGGTGAAAGAAAGATGGCAAAGCCCGCACTATCGATAGTATCGTGTGGAGGAATCTATAATTCTAAAATGAGCTTTTAGAGGCAAAAGAAGGGTCCCAGTTGTAAAATTTAACCATTAAATGGATTATTTGTTGAAAGAGCATTCAAAGTAGCCA